GCCGCCAGTGAGGGGCCGCGCTCAGGGTAGAAGACGGGAACGAGAGGAGGCCGGGCTGGAGAAGGCAGGATAACCGGAGAGGAGGGACGTGTTGGAGATAACTGAGGGTAGAGCTGGCAGAGACCCAGGCCTATAGCTCCCTGGCGGGGGCCGGGGGGAGGGGGGGTGGGAGGAGGGGAATGGGAGGGTATCTTTAAAGCTGACCACGTACTTAAATTTGAGGAGCCCATCAATTTGCAAGTCTTTAGCGTTCTATAAGTCACCCTGAAGACTAATGAGTAGGAAGGGATTTGCCCCATGTTGGAGTTGTAACTGCTCCTTGGTTATTGGTCTCTCTCTGCTTCTATTTAGATATAGTGTACCCTCAAATAGCATTAATTTAGTTAAATAGTTTTACTTTAAGGATTTTTCAGTGCCTTTCAAAGATGCTTGACTTTAGTCGCAATGCTGAAAGGAAATAAAGGTTAAGAGTAATTTTATGGGTGCAGGGTCAAATACTCACAAACGCCATACATGTATTGTCTTGTTTTATTCGCGTGACAAACCGGTGAGATAATACTAATGTATTTCTATTTTACAGATGTGGGAACTAAGCACACAGAGCTAAGTAACCTTCCCAAGGATAGTGAAGTAGTAAATAGCAAGGATGAAATTCTGTCTGCAGCCGGACTTGGGGCTCTCAATATGCAAAGCTCGTCTCTCAGGTGGGTACCAATTAATATTCATCAGTGGATGAAGCAGGCTTCTGGATAGAAATGAAAATGTTTTAATTTTGAAATTGCTCTTATTTTTTTCATTTTACCGTTTTTTAAAGTCAGGACACAAGACACGACTTTTATTTCTGTCCGTTCTATTTCAGTAGGGTTTTCTGAGGGAAAACTTTGTTTTTGTTTTGTTTGGTTTGGTTTTTTTGGTGAGGGGAATGTCTAACTTCTGGGATCACTGATATAACTACATGGTGATGGTGATAAATATTTTAAATGCTAAGATTTTAAAAAGTACACAATTACATAATAGCTCTATTTTTCCTCCTGTTGCATCCTTTGTAGATTTTGCTAGTGGTTTGCCAAAACCCTGTGTTTTTCTTTAGATCAACCCCACACACATACATACGCAAACACCAAAGAAAGGTTTTATTTTAAAATGTTCCTGACATGTAACAAAGATGTAGGGAGACAGAGATAAAAGAACTCTTATCTTGGATCGTAACTTGAGGAATAGTCCCTAACCCGTGTTGGGGTGAGGCACCTAGTTAGAGATCAGTGGGAGAGAAGCAGGCATCAGACAGGTAATTGTCCAAGAAAACACCCATTGTAATGAGAACACTTGGATCAATGTGTTGAAAGAGCAACGTTATCCTTTGAGTGTTAAAAAGGGATCAAAAGCCATTGTCCTCTAGTCTCAGCATCAGGAAAAGCAGATCTGGCAGAGCGGATGGAAAAAAGGTCTGACTGTGATGGAGGCCTGGGTGGAGGCAGGCAGACAGGCTCAGTATGGAGATAAGCCACGTGATAGGCATAATCACAAAATTCAGGAGAGCTATGGTTTCACATACCACTACTTGAGAAGATATTCACTGTGACTTTTGCTCCAGGTCTTACAAGTTGAAAAGGGGTGTTAAGGGAAAGCTGTGTTAGAATAGAACCAGTATAAAGAATCTGTTTGAACCCTGACAAACAGATTCCTTTTTTTTCCTTTCCTCACTTTAACTTCCTGGATCATAGCTCAGTTACTTCCTTCTTTGTAACCACTGTACTTTGTTCACAGCTCTGTTTAACACTGCTCCTCTTGTATTATAATTATTTCTCTGTCTGAGTCTTATGCTATGCTGTCAATGCCTGCAAGAGAGAAGTTGTATCTTTGTGTCTTTGTCTCAACAAGGCCTAGCAGAGTGCCCTGCATGTTCTAGTGACTCAATAAATAGGTATTGAAAGTTGTTAAATATAGCCTCATGGATACATGAAATGAAATATTTAGACATCTTTGATTTACCCAAACACATATATGGGGTACCCCCCCTTGTGCTAGGGACTGTGCTGGATGCAGGGTCTGTGATGGCAAACGATGCTGGTATGAACTGGAGTCCGTAGTCTGGTATAGGAGCACACGAAAGAAAAGAACTAAACAGACAGTGAAACCACAACTGAATGCTAAACAACCATCGAGAAAAAGACTGGAACCTAGCGAAAAAGGTCTTCTGCAACTGGAAACTTTATAAAGAGGGAACCACAGCACGATGATAGGAGGGGCGTGCTTGCGATATAATTGGGCCCCACACCCCCTAGGTAGGCGACCCACAAGCTGAAGAATAGTTAAGTGGCAGAGGCCCTCCCACAGGGGTGAGAGCTCTAAGCCTCACATCAGACTCCCCAGTCCGGGTCCTGGCATTGGGAATAGAAGAAGACCCCAGGAAGTCTGGATTTGAAGGCCAGCGGGGCTTGGTTCTGGGAGCCCCATGGGACTGAGGGAAATGGAGACTCCATTCACTTGGAAACCGTACACAGACACTCCCATGCTCCAGGTCCAAGGGCAGAGGCAGTGGTTTCATAGGAACCTGGGCCAGGCCTGCCTGCTGGATTTGGAGGGTCCCCTGGGGACACGGGGGACAGCTGCAGCTCACCCAGGGGACATAAAAGCTGGTAGTGGACATTCTGGGAGTGCTAATCTACATGAGCTTTCCTGGAGGCTGACATCTTGATTGGGTCATTAGCACCAAGACCCAGTCCCGCCCAACAGCTTGTAGGGACGCCTCACGCCAAACATCGTACAGGGTGTGAACAGCCCCACCCATTAGCAGACTTCCTAGTCACAAAGGCCTCTAGACACAGCCCCACCCACCAGAGGTCCAGGACCAGGCCTCACCCAGCAGTGGTTAGGCACTGGCTCCTCCTGCCAGGAAACCTGCATAAGCCCCTAGTCCAGCCTCATCCACCAGGGGCAGATGCTAGAAATAAGAAAACAACAATCCCAAAGCCACAAGCACATAGAAAGGTAGACGCTATGAGGCAGCAAAGGAATATCTCCCAGGCCAAGGCACAAGACAAAATCCCAGAAGAAGAAACAAGTGATGTGTTTGAATTAATTCTTATTTTGTGGCTGGCTTTATTCCTTTGATAACTATGTAAGTTTAAAGCACTAAAGCTCTAAACGTTCTTAGAAACAATGAACAATACATATATATAAATTAAAAAATGTATGTGCAGTTAAAAAAAAAGGAAATGATCTATCAAGTCATGAAAAACATGGAAGAAATTTAAAAGACATATTACTAAATGAAAGAAGCCAGCCTGAAAAGGGTACAAACTGTACAATTCCAACCCAGTGACATTCTGGAAAAGGCACAGCTACAGAAACAATAAAAAGATGGTGGTTTCCAAGGGTTTGGGGGGGAGAGAGGGAGGGATGAATACATGGAGCACAAGGGATTTTCAGGGCAATGAATTTATCCTGTATGATACTATAGTGGTGGCTACATGTCATTATGCATGTGTCAAAACCCATAGAATGTACAACATCAAGCGTGAACCCTAATGTAAACTATGGACTTTGACTGATAATAAAGTGTCCATGTTGGTTCATCAATTGCACCAAATATGCCACACTGACGAGGGATGCTGAGGGTAGGGGAGTATACATGTGTGGGTGGGGAGGGCTATGTGGGAACTCTGTATTTTCTGCTCAATTCTGCTGTGAACCTGAAACTGAAAAAAATAAAAAAGTCTATTAATTAAAAAAAAGAACTAAACAAAACATGAACTATGTAATTGCAATTGTCAGTGAAGAAAATGGGAGCAGGGTGCTACTGGAGAACCTACTTTAGATTGAGCGGGCAGGACGGTCTTCTCTGAGGACATTTGAGCTGGCACCCCAAGGTAGGAAGGTGTTGGTCAGATGTATGTAGGAAGAAGAGCAGTTCAGGCTGTGAGAATAGCCTTCCCCATTTTTCAGACGGAGAAAGAATTGTGTTTTAGACATGTTGATTTGAGACACCTGTGGAACATCTAGGTACCATTACCTTTTGTACAATAGTTGGATCTCAGAAGTTTCTTTGTGTGTAAAATAATTTTACCAACCTCATAGCTTGTTGTGAAGATTTAATGAGGTAAGTATTTAGAGCATTAGTCCATTGCATAGTTCATAGAAAGGATCAAATAAACAGCGTATTAGTTAGGAATTTTTGTTGCAATAGAGAGAGAGGCCAGCTTAAACTAGCTTGAGACAGAGGGGGAATTTGATGAGGATATTGAGATCCCCAGGACAGAGACGGCACTGGCGTCAGGAACAGCTGATTTTGATGCCTCTGAGATGCTCTTTCTCCTGTCGTGGCTTTTCTCCGTGCGTCTGCTTGTGTATCTGTGCAGGTTTTTGCTACTGAACTCCTCTGCTTCTCAGGTTCACCTGGCAGGAAACATGGTTCCTCAAAACTCTCAGTTTCTACATTTTATGAGTCAGGTGTCCAGAAAGATACTAGTTCCTTTTTTTCGGTTTCAGTTTTAAAATTTCTCAGGAAAGAATTGTGATTGAATCACCTTGAATCAGATTCCATCCTATAATAGTCATGCGAGGGGTGAACAGAGTCATGAACACGGTAGGTACTGATGAAACCATGTAGGTAACAGTGTGGAGAAGGGAACGGTTTCCAAAAACAGAACCTGAGCTGATCAAATCCTAGGTGTCCACTCTACTTTGACTCCTCTTTCACTCTCTTACATTTTCAATGTAGACAGAGATCATTCACTCTCTTGCGTTTCCAATGTAGATAGAGATAATTTCTCACCATCTTCTAACTAATGTCCACCTTAATGACTTCTGTATTCTACTGAGGAACTCAGGGAACATGCTGACCAGCACTGGTCCTCTTAAGAGTTTCTTTGTTGGAGTAATCATTACTGATAACCTTGCTTTTATTACCAATATGTTTGTTTTATTTAACCGATTTATTAGAGTAAAATTAACTGAAAACTCAGTGCCTGGAGGAAAGAGATTGCAAGTAGAAAAAGTTTAGCTAAAAAAAAAATTCTGTGATAGTCTCAAATAAATTTTTTGAAAAAAGTGCATCCATAAGAAAAGAATAGAATGTTAAAAAAAAAAGGAATGTTCAGGGAATGGGAAGTAGAACAAAAAGATAAAAAGAAAGGAAAACAGGAAAAAAATAAAATTAAGGATTCTTCCAGCAGGTCCAAGATCTTAATTCAGAAACTTGAGAGATAAAAGAGAGGAAGAAAAATCAAAGTAATAATACAGCAGAATTTCTCAGAATTGAAGACTGTTTCCAAATTAGAAGAATTACTTAATAGACACGGAATGCCCAAGACAGCAAATGAAAACAGACTTAAGCCAAGACATATCATTGTGAAAATTTTAGAACACTAAAAATAACAGGGAGATCCTAGCAGTTTCTTGAGATGAAAAAAATAAAAGACAGGGTGTGTGTACCACATCCAATTAGAATTACATCTAACTACCCAGTAGCAACATAAAAAACCAGAGGACCGCGGGGCATTGCATTGCACCTTAAACACATCCACCCTGGAATCCCATACCTAGCCAGACTATCAGTCAAATGAAAGTGTAAAATAAATACATTTTTAAGACATGTAGGAGGTCAAATGGCATACTTGCTGTACTCCTCTCCTGAGAAAGCACAGGAGGAATTCTCCATCACAGTTGAGGAGGAAACCTAGGAAGACATTGCCATGGGATC